CCGCCCCCGGGGACTGGCACACGCACTTGATCTGGACATCCTTCGGGGTGAACTCCAGGCGATCATAGTCTGCCAAAGCAGCAGATGAACAGAGAGAGGGCAGCAGTTAGGGCAGCGTAAGCCAACTGTCGCAGGCACCGGGGCGGATGTGGCGGAGGGGGCGGGCAGATGAATGTGCACGGGCGAGAAGATGTACCGAGACCACACTCGCCAATCGCGACGATCTTGCGCGAGCCATTCGGCCGGACAGCCGCCTGACGGGCGTCCTCCTTGAGGATGGCCCTGAGGGCCTTGATGTATTGATCCACCCGATCGGCTTCGCTGTACGTGTCCAGATTGGCGAATGCCTCCAGCGCCTCGGGCTGATAGGGGCCAGGGAAGATGCCATGCATATTCAGCGGCTCCGCGGCCAAGCGGTCCAGGGCTGGCTCCAGCATCTCGGACGTGCGGGTAGGATGCACACCAGCCGTCGTGACAAGTCGGGCTTTTGGGAATTGCATTGTCCATTAGTCGCAGAGGATTTCCACGGATCGCGGCCTGACTAGATGACTCCACAGCGCCTCGCGCGGGATGTCACATCCCCCCTCCCCCCCCCCCCCCCCCGCCCCCGCCAGCCTGGCGTTCCTCTAGATGTGGAGGGCGGAAAGGAAGGAGACATACCGTCATCCTGGCAGAGACGCAGGGACTCAATCAGCTCGGACCACCGACCTGAGGTGGAGATCATGCGTCGGACACCAGACGCCCAGCCTCGTTCCAGCACCTGGGCCAAATCGTCCTGGTGATAGGGCCGATCGCGATAGAGGCCGCGGAACATCGGGTCACAGAGGTTGACACCGATGTCTGGGCGTGTTGACGTGCGCGCGTGTCAGCTTGGAAAAGAAAGGGGGGGGGGGGGGGGAATAGTTGTGTACAGGGGTCATACCGACAAAATCCACCCCCGGCTTGGCCGGGGGGAAGGGCACCTCGGCACCAGCGGGATGGCCCTTGTCGCTGGGCTTGGCGGGATTGTTGTTCGCGCCGCGGGGGGTGGTCATTGAGGCTGCGGGATTAATGAACCAGGGGACCGAGCCAGGGGCGGTATTGGTGGGCTGCTGCTGTTGGCCGGCGGCGAGGGGCGCAGGGAAAATCGGCTGGCGCTCCTTGCGGGTCTTCGAGGTAGTAGCCACGCGTCCAGACGAGACCAGCGACGAGGATCCCTGGTTGCTGCTGAAGAGGTAGGTGATGGGGGTGGTGGAGACCGCCTCCGGAAGGAGAGACTTCTTGGAGCGACGCTTCTTGGTTGCGGGCTCCGGGACCTGGGTGCTCTTCTGGCGAACGGCGGAGACGGCGGCGGCGGTGGCGGCCAGGCGGACGGGAGCAGGAGTGTGCTGCAGGGGAAGAGCGGCGAGGGGGGAGCGCAGGAGGGCACCAAACATTGATCCTGTGCCGGGTAGCCAGGGCAAGGTAAGACAGGAGGAGGGGGGGGGGGGGGCGGGGGTGCTCGTGGATGTGGG